AAAAAAAAACAAGAAAAGAAATAGGGCATTTCCCTGCTCCCAAACACACACACACAACCCAACCACGCACCCCCCTTCCCCACCACTCCAACCAACCCGAGATCCCACGGCTCCAGCGAAGATCTCTGCTCCAAAATCCTCTTCTTCCACGCAAATCCCAACGGGGTCCATCCACACCATCCCCGTTGCTGCAGTCCCAGCCTGGACTTTGCCACCGCTCCGCCGCAAACGACTTCATCCACCAGATCCACCCCACGGGGCTGCAATCATTGATCTCTTCTTTCTTTTTGTGTGTTTGTTTGTTTGCTTTTTTAATTTTCATTTCTCTCTCTCTACGCATCGCCAACCGTTTCTCTCCTTGCGGTGGCGGTGCCTGGGGGAGGGGAAGGGGGTGAGTTGGGTTCTGATACCCCTCATGTTTTCATTGGGGGTGGAAAGAAGGAGAAAGCCATCGTTGGGAATATGATTATAAAGACGTAGCTGCTCCGGCCGGGGTGTGCGCTTCGATTTGCTGCTCCTCTGGGACACATTGTTGGAAGCTGGCGGTGTCCGTCAGTGAGTGTCACCCAGCTGACAGCCGTTCCCCTTCCCCGGGGTCGTTTGAAAGGGGTTGGAGAGGAGCAAGCAGGAGGATGGAGGCACGCTGGATGGGCTTCAGGATGTTTTGTCCCCGGCATAACGACAAGGATCCCATTTTCCGCGACGTCTTTGGGGTCCGCGGTTGGGTTTTCACCTTATTATTATTTTTTTTCCTTTAATATCTATATTTTTATTGCTATTATTTTTTAATTTCTTTGCTTGACGAGGTTACACTTTATCTGTGGATCAGAACATCTCTGTGGCTCACACGGAACAAAGAGAGGTACGGTTTTAATGACTCGGTTGGAGGAAGGCTCACAACCGTGCCTTTGCTCAAATCAAAATGCGCTTTCTTTCTCATTAAGGATTGCATACCTATTTTCCCTTCGCAAGGAATATTTATATTTACACACAGAAAGCTTTATATGCATATATATAAAGACGTGTTTGTGTTTAGCTAGATGGAGAGATAGACTCATTCTAGTGAAATTACACCAGAAACGCAGTTCATACGGGGATATTTAAATCATTGGGAATTTGGCAGGGGTCGGGCCCTGATTATTTTCTTTAGGCTTGGATGACAAGTGATTGCAAATGGGAGCGCTGGCAAGTGTGCTGAGATCTAATCGCCCCGTGTAGCCGAGCTGCAGCCGATCCGAGCTTGCTGCTTCCAGAGGAGGGACCAATGCTCTCCCATTAAATCCCTGCAGCGTCGGTGCTGCTGGGTGCACTGGGGGTGATGGGATCTGGGGAGGGAGAAGGGAGTTTGGTCGCATAAGGTAGGGCGAGGAAGAAAGGAGGACGGTGGTGGTGGTGGCGGCGTGTGTGAAAAAATCATCTTAAGGACTTTCCCTCTGTATTAGAGAAAATCCCATCCAATTATAGCATTACTGGAAAGAACCAAACGCTGAGGCTTTCAAAGGAGGGGATTTCTCTGTCTTTTCAAGTGAAATTGCTCATACTGCAGACGGGAACACACACACACACACATACACACACACACACACACAGACCCCCAGACACCAGCCCTGGCGTGGGGGTCCCTGGTGAGGTGCAAACGAGGAGGAAGGGTCCGACACGCATCCCTCGCAGGGGTCGAGTTAATCTCCCCTCCTTTTGTTCCTGGGGAGAGACTTAAACATCCCCCAGAGCCTCTGCCCCTCCCACCTGGAAGCACCAAGCAACTTCACCTGAAGGGACACATTCAGCCACTCTCCCTTTTCCCTCTCAGCCCCGCAGCTGCTGGCGGGGCAGGATGGAGATAATCCACTTTGTCATAGGCACACACACACATACACAAAGCAGGATCACACTGATTCCTTTGGCAGGCAGCGCTGCCACTTGCTCTGACACCAAATGCTTTCAATCGTGCTGATAAAAAGGCAGTTGGGTGTATGATAGCTATTCTCCAAGCTGGGAACTACCCTAGGTTCATTACCTTTTATCAGCAGTACTGTTGAATTAGTGCCCTTTAAGGGACAAATTGTGTTTGAGCCAGGAAAAAGGCTGCCACAGGCTGCCTGGGTTCAGGACTTCTTGCATTTGATTGCTGAAATCAGCAGCATTTTCTTCCAAGAGTGGTTTTTAGGGCCTGATGTCAAACCTTGGCTGAACTCTGCCATGCTTGTCCGTTGGGTTCCATCCCATCCACATCTCTTCCAAATATTCAGGCCAGCGTTTGGAGACATGTTTCAGGGTTGGCAGGATCTGGCTTTCAGTGGGTTTGATGGTTGGACTAGGTGACCTCAGAGATCTTTTCCAACCTTAATGATTCCATGATTCTATGATTCTGTGCCTGCAGCATTGCCTTGGCTTCTTTGCTCTTGGCACTGCTTATGGAGAAGTTCTGAGTTGTGGATCTTCAGGGGTGGGCACAAAATCACAGTCCTGGTGGGGAGACAACCTGCCATGGTGCCCAGCAGGGTGATCACCAGATTTGTTTGCTGACTTCCCAGGCTGCAGCTGTCCAAACCCTGCTGCCAAACCCTTGGCTGCTTCTATGGCCAGTGGAGCAAAGGAAACCTGAGCAACGCAGCTGACTGAAGGCTGTAGCCTATGGGAGGTAGGTTGGACTGCGTTTGGTGTTGTACATCTCTCTATTTTGGATTTCATTTCCAGTTGGTGTTCAGTCTCCAGATGGTTGAAGTTCAGTGAGGTAACTATAGGCTATTGCTTCTTCTCCGGGCTCTGAGATTCTCAGCTCTGTAGGATGCAAGTTGTCCCCAACTACACGTGGACAGCATACATCTGACAGTGCCTAAAAGCTCTGACCCCTCCGTCCAGATTCTTCTGTGCCAACGGCAGACTGGGATTTTGGTTGCTCCTGGTTTCCCATCAAAGCATTTCTGTACTAAGTAGATGACACTGCAGCCTTCTGACCACAGAACTCATAGGAAAATGAAAGAAAGTTGAAAGCATGAGGTCCAGAACCAAAGGTGGGAAGGGTTAAGACATAAGGCCTGGTTTTCTATTTAATAGAAGCAGAGCACCCAGAGAGCTGCAGAGCTGCTAGACCTGCTGCAGAGCAGAGCAGATGGATGTTCCTTCCCTATGGCCTCTTATACACTGGAGCTTCTGCCACCTCACCTTTGGTGAAGGAAATAGCTATCTGAGGGGAGGGTTCCTTTCTCCTGCTGTGTGTGCTTGCAGCTCTACCTGCTGGCACTGTTAGCTGCTTTAGATGGGCAGTAGGTGGTAGGACCAAGCCTTGAATTGGCAATGGTGCTGTGCTGTTGCTCTTGCCACCAGTCCATGCCCAGTTGCTGTGCCTGAGATGGTCACTTTGTCAGGACAGGAGACCTCTCCATCTAGGGCCTGTCTAACAGCAAGGCTTGGGGTGAAACCAGAAGCTCCTTGACATCTTTCCCTGTTCCCTTCCTGCACCCCTGCCCTTCCTGTCCCTTTCCCCCATCACCTGCATGCCCGTGACCTGCAGGAGGTAGGAGAAAGCCTCTCACCGTGTGGCTCTGGCCCACCTAGTGGTACAGCAGGAGAACAGACCTGAGAACAGCCCAAATATGTAAACAGTGCTGCAGCACCAGGGCTTTCTTTCCTTTGCTCACTGCTCAAGAGCCCTGAGAGCCCCAGATGCTGAGGGGCTTGTCTCTGTGGTGGGCTGTCTGAAGGAAGGTAAGGTTATGGCCTTGGAGGATGAATGATGGGTGCTATTTCTTCTCCAGCCTCACACATTCAGTTCTCTGAAGGCTTAATGCTCCAGAACAGTGTCACTTATCAGCCAGGTCCTTGTCACCTGCACACAGAACAGCACAGGGTCGGTGGGATGCCAACCTGCCTGGCTCTGCCCCATTGAAGAGTAGGTACAGAGCAGGCAGGGAAAATATCCTCTGGGGGTGATGGTAACAACTGGTCACTTTCTATTAAACCCACTGACTTTGTCACTTTCCA